ACCATCTATAGCTAAATCAGAAGTTCTATTACCATTTGTTTCAACCTGACTTGATGGTTTACCAAGAGCTACATTTTCTATAAAATATTTACTTCATTTATAACGGTGATAATTACAAAGTAAATTTCTTATCATTCATTAAATGCCACTTCTGTAAAATATACAACAAATAAACAAACTAAATGTGACACATTTATTTTTTGTAAATAAAGTAACTTAATTTTAAGTTTTGCTGTCTTATGATCCAAATTTGTCATCGATAAAGTGTTTACATCTGGTAATATTTTAGCCATTCGTCAAATATAATATGGCCACGAAACTAAAAAGCCATCAATGTGGGGTGAAAATTTCAAACATTAGTTCTAATCCAGATTGGGGCGTCCAATCCTCTAAATGCTCCCTATAATGTTCTTACGTTTTTGACAAGTTGATCCTGACCACCCTGTAGCACAACCTTCACCACACTCACCACTTTCTTTATCACATTGTTTATCATTAATACAGTGACAGGTAAAACTATTATCTTCTCCAAATTTAGCACCTGTACAATATACATCTAATAGACGTAATATTTTCTCCTTTACGTTCTCTTACCATGTGGAATGAGGACCTTGTATTGGATATGCATGGTTTTGAGGTTCAACCGACACTCAATATAATAATGGGGATATAAATGGTTAGAGAGTGCGTTTTTGAAAATATTCCTCAGCACGATTACGTCTCATGCGCATAATGGTCAATTTTGAAAAATATTACGTAATTTCCCAATTTAACCTACTGAAACTCAGAACCAAATGCTCATAGCAAGTGGCAGGCTCAATTCAATTTCAATATATATAATATATATGAAGGAGTAAGTCAGTCAAATAAAAAGAAAATATTGTCATTTAATAGACAAGAGATATAGTTATATAAAGACATAATATAAACTTAGGAGTGGAGTTAATTAAATAAATGAAGTTTTACGTCCTACTGTTGTGCACCTTATCGGCCAATAAAGACAGTTATATACTTACATTGAGTGTAGATAATAATACAAAATATTACAGCTATCCACTTCCACATTGTGACAAACTAAACATTAAAAAAATGTATTACGTTTTTTCGATTTTCAGATCTTCTCTATTATTGGCTTATGAATAAATCGTGTAGTGTGCTATTGATTAAATATTTGGCTATGCAACAATAGCAGTCTTATTTTTTAAATTTTTCTTAGACACAGTTTGTGCACACTTTGAGCATACGGTTTACTATCATAGCTCCATTTAAACAACTAGAAGCTTCCATAATCAGCTCCTGCAACCTTGATATCTCGGAATATATTTCCCAAAATCTTAGGATTGTAAGCTGGCAGCTCAATCACTTATTTACCCCCAGTTACAAAACAATTGAAGACTAGATTGTGTCCTTACAAAATAATTAACTGAAGAGTTACCCTTATCAAAATACAATTCAAATAGCGATAGATTCAGTATTAATATCTGAAATTTAAGATATTTTTGGAGATAAAGTGTTACACAATATTGACCAGGCCTTTAGAGCGGCTGCATCTTCACCGCATGTATAATTTACTATGTTTGAACAACGTTTTTTGAACTCGCCATTCAATACATTTGCTGATTAAATGAGGAAATAACCTTACCCTGTCACTGGCAAAGTACCTTCGTACGATTATTCCTCCAAATATACTTTCTCTTTTCCGAAATCAAACAACTGGAATGCACGCCCTGCCCATTTTGTA